ACGTTATTAAACTGTAAAAAAACGTATAAACGAGAAACGACTTTTCATATTGTAATTAGAAGGTACCTACCTACCAATCAAACTTGAATAAGAAATCATAATTATCAAAGCAAACATTTATTTTATTCATAATATTATAATATAATATGTACATATCACAATTCACAATACATTTATTAAATATACAATTATAACTATAAATTTTATAATACACAATTCAATAAACAATGAGCGTAGGTATTATTTATTTTAACTATAYACGTCATTCAATAACTAAAAAGCTTATCACAATACACAATAAAATTGAGAAGTACGATGAGTTGATACTAGYAGCAGATGCTACATAAGGATGCGCACCTCCGACGAACGGCCACCATTTACCTAATGTAGATATCATATTAGTACGACTTTCGATATCTACGTCATCAAAATCATCATGCTGCCTAGATCCATTAATGATCGGGTACACCGAATCCATGTCTTCTGGATTCAGTATTGACACTAATCCTTTTCCGTTATAGTTTCCACATTTCGGAAAACCCGGAGGTGATGGTGGCATTTCCCAGTCTTCACCGATTTTGAACACAGTTGCCATGCCCACTTCAACGTGGAATTCAATATGACAATGAAATAACCAATAACCTATTATATAAATTCATTAGATATTTAGGTATTTTCGATTTTTGAAGTTTTCAAAAAGTAATCTATCTTGCATTAATAACTTACCAGGATTGTCGGCTAAGAATCTTAATATTGTAAATCCACCATCTGGTACTGTCACGGTGTCTTTAAGAGGTGCAGTCCGTAGATTTCTAACAATGCGCCCATCTCTGTCCATTTGCTCTATCTCCTCTACAGTAGTATGGTTTCCAACTCTTTCCATCGCTACTACTCTAAACGGATGTCCGTGCAAATGGAATGGATGATTTGCGTTGTAGGTCACACCTTAAAATTAATAGTTAAGTATTTAGTTAATTACTTGTACCCTTACGTTCTAATTTTTCTCCAATAWTTTTATTTACCTTTGTCAATAAGAAATAGTTCAACGATTGACCCCAGAGGAACTCTTATAATGTTTGTACACTCACAAAATTCGTTTGAGCAATCCTTCTTTATATGATCACAACTCATCCAAGGTTCTATCATATTCCTTTGAGATAATAATGGAAATGATGGAAGCTTGAAAGACATTTTGTTAATTTGTGGTGTGTACACACGTTCAGACCTGTGAGTCACTATAACATATAAATACAAAAATATTTAATCATTAAATCGATTTCACTAAAGCAATCGTGTTTTATTAATTCTTAAAACTTAATTATTATTATTAACCTTGTTTGAATCCATATAACATAGGTTTGTGGAAATGTGGATTATCTAAAGAATAAAAATCATATGACATAAATAATGTTACATCTGGTTTCTTCTCTAAACGAAGGTCGTTTTTCGGTGGTGTTGCGTCTTCTAATTCTGATACAGTGGCCGTGTCCATTAACCCAGATCCTTTATTCAGTGCATTCAATTGCTGTAACCATTGTGCATTTAAACGCATTAGTAACACATATAATTCAATAAAACATTTAGAAAAAACTATTGACATTATCTTATAATTGTGCAATATATTTACAATTCCGGAATGAAGTGTATTGTCATATGTTGGTGTGCCCTCTGGTTCCTCGTCAGCAGCTCCGCCATAATGCAAAATCGCTACTTCAAAGGCCTTGGTAAACCGTTCATCGCAGTCCATCAATCCTCTAAAACGCATCCAATAATTGGCAACATTAGCTGTTGCTTCCACTACAAAATCCCAGCGTTCACCAGCATAACTTACAAATGAATCGACTGTAAACGTGTAGGTATGTCATATTATTATCGSTGTCTTGGTTATTTGAGCGAATCGAATAGCGTTATTGTTTTAAAACATTTTTTAAGTCTAACTAGATTATTCACCTACTACTGGTTGAATGTTATATCCATCTGTTGCAATCATCGTAACTGTATGATTATCGATACTCATAGAAATTGGACAATTTAGGAATCCAGCATTGATCAGTCTAAACCTATATCGTTTCCCCTAAACAAGATAAAAATATTAAGACATTTAACATTGAAGTTAATTTCAATTGATTTCTATTTTTCTATAGTACCTAAAGYTTAAACATCGATTTACGATTTAATATATCGTATACTTGTATTTAATACCATTATATATTAAACTACCAACTTAGTGTTTTATGCAAAATAGAGAATCATACTAATTGCTAATTATTAAAAAATACACGTATAATAATRTGCTATACCCACAAATCGTGTTTATATTGATTATAATATAGTTATTACACGTCTRCAAGTAGAAGAACCTACCTAATCAGATTTTGGTGAAATAAAATTATAATATACTATAATATACTAATATACTGTTTATACCTACATATTTTAACTAATTCACATACTTTATCAAACATCAATTTATTATAAGTGCGATATCAATCCCTATCATTGCGAGTAAGCACTTGATTTTTCGGGACGCAGACATTCTTTATTATATTTTATTGACATTTAATCTGAATGTGTGCATTAAATCAAATTTTTTGAGATTCAAGTACTCGATATTTATTATGAGCGATGATGGGATGACGGAACAATGGGTTAAGTAACATATAGCAAAACAAATAAATCTACCGATTTAGAGTTACATGTGAACTTAAAWACATAAACTCATATATTATACAATACAATATTGATAAAATGCGTGCAACCCTCCCAAGARACTGCAGTSRATAAACGTGATCGCTCGATAAACATAGGCGTAGAATGGTGGGACTAAGGGGGTTACTRACCCCTCCCTCCCCGAAAATATGTTTATCCCCTTGTGTAAAATTTTACTGTTTTGTACGTCCATATATGAAAGCTGAAAACATTTTCTATCATTTATTTTGATATCCGAAGAAAATTTTAGTTGATAATTCAAATTTTAAATTATTCATTTATTTTTATACATTACATCATATTATTGTTCTGTACCTCTGCATCTGAATCATTATACCTTTTATGCGATGTAATTCGCAGAAGTTGTGGTATCGTCGTAGATACCACAAAAAAGGTTATCGCCCCCTACCTCCTCCCACCACAAAAAAAAAATCATAACGCTACACTTATGTTGATTAAGTTCATACTGCATAGTGATTATAGCGATGTTTATATTTATAAAATATAGCAGCAAGTGGTCAGTTTGATACTCACTCTGGTCACGTTGAACTGAGTCAGAGGCGTTCGGTAACCACCGTCAAAGACTTTGTAACGGCCACGGCCATTGACCAGAATGGACTCGGGCTTATTGTTGCCCGAACCGTGGTAATGGGCGAGGAACTTGCGGATGCCCAGTTCATGCAGCCAATCGGTGACCGTGATGATGTGAACGTCCTCGTCGTACATGTCGCGGTGCACGTCCCGTGACTTCGGGGACCGCACGATGAACGAACCGAACGCTCCGTCACCCCGCTGGCAGCCAGAATGCGAGTGCCAGAAGTGCGTGCCTTCGTTGTCGGCCAAGTACACGTACCTAAAAGAACTGTGGGGTGGAACCGGACACTGCGTCACGTACGGCACGCCGTCCATGTACGGTGAGTTGCGTTGGTGGTGCCCGTGCCAGTGGACGGACGTCGACTCCTCCATCATGGCGTTCTCCACGTCCACCATGACTGTATCGCCCAAGCACACCTGTGGAACGTGTCACGCTATCGTCAGTATTGGTTCAACAGACAAGAGTTGGAGATATAGAGTTTTACTATGTGSATTGTGCAATAGTATTTAAAGGGATAAGTAACTGCAATTTAGTTCGAGACATAGAGTCATKATATTGTAATATACTAATATGTATTAAAGGGACACGCGGTATCTGCATTATGGTTCGAGATGTCGTAAAATTCGAGATTTTGGCAATTGACATACTAAAAATGTGTATTGTATCTTTAGTCACATGTATTATGAAACATACAAATTGATTTATATTCCTTATACGTTGTGTGGTATATATAAGGGGTAACAGAACTGATCTTTGGAATAACTTTTGTTGACATACGCTACGTGTATAGGCTGTGTACGAGTTGATTCCCGGGTACCTGTTTACCTGTACCGATACCGTTGAGTTGATTCACAGGTGATTGAGAAATGAGAGGTAAGTACGAGAGTTGATTCCCGGATCACTATATATTTTTTTTCAATGTTTAATAAAATATTTAGCCTATTAGCATAACTCAAGAAACACTATCACGAAGAGGTTGGCTGACAAGTTTCTCAAAAATTATGTTGTTTTTTTTGTTTTTTCATTTTTTGAAAATCATTCAAATTTATTTATAAATTATCTTTTGTATATTATATTTATTATTTATTAAAAAAATTATTAAAAACATTTAGTAATTACTAATTAGGTAAAAAAAAAATACAAAAAATTTAGTAATTTTGTAAAAATGTCTATCGCATTGTTTTTATAAATTGCAGGTATCTGCAGGTAATGCGAGGTTATACAACAATAGGGAATCAATCCATACCTACCTCTTAATGACCCGGGAATTAACTAATACATAAAATAGGTTCACCTATCGTGCATATTGTACAACACATTTTTTATGTTTATTTTTTAGTATTGAAAATAAAAAAATTTAATTTAGTAAAAAAAAATTTAGATAAATTCAAAATAGCCTATTATTTKTGAATCTAATCATAAGAAAAATGTTGATGGTAAAAATATGTATCTAAGTCAAGAAGTTAATTTTAGAATTTTTTTAAATTCAATATTTTTTTGGTTAAATTAATTTGGAACKTAATAACTTTTTTTAAAAACATGATTTTTGAGAATTTGCTGACATGAGTATATTTCTGAAATTATTTACTTATCATATAATATTAACAATTTTTATCATACGTTTAATTAGCAATTTTTTTTTGTCAGGTCTTTCTGTTACATCCTGTGCGCTGGAATRATATTTTTTATCTTATCGACGCCCATATTTCACCTATATAGTGAAGTAAATTGGGTAGGTACTCGTTTTCACGAATTTTTTAACGAATACGTAGGTTACCTATATGTTTTTTCTTGGRGAAGAAATTTAATTTCTATAGATACATACCAATTTTTATTTAACTCCTCTTTGAGAACTTTTTTTCGATTCAACAAAAAMATATTCAAAATTGAGTTTTAAAAAAAAAGTTTAACCATAGATAACTGTTTAAACGTAACTAAAAATTTTCAAACATTATGCCATGTCTGGTCTCCATTTAATTTATTCTGATTTCTTGCGAGTCTAATTTTATTATTGTTTGTATAGAAATGGGCATGTATGCCTAATATTAAAACTGTATTTTCGCAAATAAAAGAAAATCAACGATTACATATTAATATATTATTGTGTATTTAAAGAAAACAGTTTTATATTACTTTTTTAATTACATTGTAAATATTATACAGCGGTGATTGAAGAGAGATAGTAATTAATAGAGATCATACTCAAGAGTAATTCTACAGCTGATGTCTGGTCAGTATAGCATGATGTGGAATGTGCTTTAAATTGCAATAATTTATTATTCATCATTGGGAAAAAGCGTTTCGTTTTGTTTTCCCCATTCGTGAAATACGGAATTTGTGTCTATGCTCTATGTTCTCGGTAGGTATATATATACATATATAGTTACCTGCGTCACTTGTCTCATATTTCTACACAAGTTAAGTCAATACATCGCTGTTTCGTTAACATGACTTTACTTTACTAGCCTATATGGTACACAATATATCGTTGTACCTGTAATAAAGTGTACATAAAACATATATAAATATAATTGTGCAAACGAACGGCGTAGGTAGATACACGTGTATTTAATTACAAACATAATGTGTTAWATATATAATATTATGTTGCAATAGTATTGGAAATCGTAAATGAAAATTAAAAATAATCACTATTTCGTCATCACAATTCTCGAATAGCCATCCGTGTAAATCGGTTTGTAAGTATTCAGAAATAATAATATGTTAAATATTATATGGTTTCGATATTTTGCTACTTAAATCGTTTGAAATTATTAAATGTTTTTTCCATATTTAAACATATAAATAGTAAAATACATGTTTAAAATAGTAATTTTTGAGCAAATCGTCCATGCACAAATAGTAATACCTAATAATACAGTGCAATACAATGATTAACGCTAAAAAATATAATTTTAAATATGCATGGATTATTTGGCCATTAGTCGCTTCCAAGAACTAGTGCGCGTCTCTGTACATAATATATATTATAATAATACAGGTATATAACTGTAGTTTGGAAATCAAATATCGACAGTGCACAATTAACGAGCACCTATCAAGTATATTATGATTGGTAAAATGTTACAACGTTGACCTAGAAAACACGATTAAATTGTTTATCTAAATATTATTAATTATAATACGTAAATGACGATCTGCAGTTATAACGAGAACCAATATTTTTTACTATACATTGTTAGGCAAATTATTATTTTTGAAAATATTGATCTATAAGATTTGAATATTAGTTTCTCGGATTTGTTAAAATGTACCTATATATTACGGATAATAATAATAATA